TAAGTAAAATCGATATGATAGTGTGACAGAATCGGAACCACCCTGAAACAGCTAAGAAATTACCAGAGCAATCTCTCAACGAACCTTGACGTATAGAACTGTTACTTATATTTTACCTGTCAAACGATTTCAAATTCGTAAAAAGTGCAATTTTTAACGCGTTATAGATGTATAAAAATTTGTCGAAATCTCGGACAAGAATAGCATCATAAAGTTGCATGTCTTTAATGTTTATTCTGAGTTAGAATGTGCGTTTTTGCTGATGTTGTCTACTTGAATAAGCCAAAAGAGAATGAAGTTTTAATTTGTTGAACCAATATATGTGTCATTTACTGGAATGCTTTAAACATTTATTATTTAATAATTAGTCTTTATTCATGTGAGAGATAAAAAGAAAAAAACTAAAAGTAAAGAAGGAAGAAAAGAAAGAAAGAAAAATGAAAGTTTAGATAGCACATTTATTCATTGAATGAAGATTATTCAATAGCTTTCCAATTGCTTACAATCAAAATTTTGTCGATATCTAATATAATCAATGAGTAGTTTTCGTTTTGTTTTCGAAAAGTAACAACATTTAATTTTGAGCAAGTCGAAATGTTTATCTAAATCAATAATAATTAATCCTGTTTGAAAACATAAAATATGAACTGAGATATTTTGTGTAGAAATTCTTCTACTTCTAGAAAAAAAAATAAAAATATGAAAATTCCACAAAATATTTCTATTGATATATTATGTATCAAAAATGCACAAATTTTCATTTATTTAGATAAATATTTCAACTTGTGCGAAATAAAATAGGCAATTTTTTTTAAAGCAAAATGAAAATTACTGTTTGATTCAATTAGATATCAACAAAAATCGACCTTCGTTGCTCATCATAAGTCGAACAAAATTAATTGTACAGCTAGGTAAAAGATAAAACAATAGCCATTTTATTCAAAATAGCCGTTTGTAACAGATGATATCATTGCGTGAAGGAAAAATTGTGCTCTGATGGCAAACTGTGATATTTATCTTTTACTTTGACAATTGCTTATTATGATAAACGAGTATTTCAGAGAATACATAACAGTTTAACTGCTGTGACGTCTAATATAATTTAAATGGCAGGATAACATTCCTTCACCTAACTGAACTCTGCGGGCTTTGGCAAATCACTGTTTAGCTTTTCGATTTTTCTGTATAGTGCGCATAATTTCAAGAAGTGCTTCAGAATACTTTTTTTCCATTCTAAGAATAAGCTTTTATGCAACAAATAATCATCAAGAGTATTCCTACGCTTTTTCATGCGCAAGATGATATTGTTACACATTGTTATTTCAATTTTTATTACAAGAAAACATTCATGACAAACACAATATAGTTTCACATATAATTAGTGGAATACTTGTAGAGTTAAGGAGTGTTCTGTTTCTCATTTATAGTTTCATCTATTCGGAGTAGAGAATAACTCCCTACAAAACAAACTACAGACGAATCACTAATGGAAAATATATCTCTGAACAACAGCATGAACGAGACCTCAGTTGTTGGGTTCGAAACAACGATAACACGTTTGGTCAAATTTGGCATACTTCTTACGTTGGAAATTCCATCTATTCTCTGTTCACTGTTTATCTTCTTCTGCTTTATACACGAACGGGTGTTACGACGATGGCAGAATCATGCTTTCATTCTCTTATCTATATGCAACTTTTTCTTGACTGCCAATGAGCTACCCATCACACTTGCTTTTTTCTCCGTTGGTTATGTACAACTGGCTACAAATTCTTTTTGCTTCTACTGGATTTTTCTCAATTATACTCTCACAGGTACTTCACTTTATCTTATGGCTGCGGCGTCATTTGAAAGATACATTCTTATCTTTCGGTCATATTACTTTCGTCGAACTGCTTTGCGTCGTCAAATCATTCATTTTATTCCCCTTGTCTTTGCCATCACATTTCCAGCTGTCTGGTATGCAGCACTCCTTATTTTCTACCTGTGCCCACCCGAAACAGCATTCAATTATTACAATTTCGTGTGTGGCGGAGCATGCTATCAAAGTAACAAAATTTTGGCAACTATTGATTGGATTCTAATGTCACTCATTCCTGTTCTTTTGATTACCATTATTAACGTACTTTTGCTAACTCAAGTCTTCTGCCAAAAACGACGCATCCGTCAGGCACTAGCATGGCGAAAGACACGAAAAATGATTATTCAGCTTTCGGCTACTGTTTTTCTCTATTTAATTACTCAATTGCCACTTGCTATATTGTCCATTATTGGACTTCTCAACGAAATGAGTGATGATGTCATGCATATCGTGTTGGTGTGGCTCTATTATGTACCCTATTTCATTTATCTCTTTAGCCCATTTTCCTATATGTTGACAACAAAAGAATGTCGTACTCATTTTCGACGAATTATGAACTATATTCCTATCACCAATCAGATTCACCCTACTGTATGAAAATTACTTTATATCTACTTATTATGCGAACAATAACAATCTCTCTCTTACTGCGAAAAGACTATGTTAACGTCTATAAAGAAAGATTTGCTCGACCATCAGCACAACAATAGGAAAAACAAAGTAATAATTTCATTGCCAAACGAACTCGTAAAGTCGATTGTCTATGAGAAGTTATATCGTATGACACCCATGTCAAAGATTCTATCTCTGTTTGAATTAAGTTGAATAAAAAAAGATTCAAATCAATATATATATATTAATTCAATGATGACGCTCGAGTCAATCAATACCGCTGAAGCGCCAAATTTTCTTTTCAACAAGAAAATTGACACTAGAGGAAAGATTTGATGCTGAAAGCTATTTCCGTCGGCAAACAGACTTTATCATCTAATACTTAAAATAAGATTGATGAGGAAAACTACTTGACAAAGAAGGTTCAGGTAATGAAAATACTATAGAGAGAAAAATCAGTGAATGAAAAGAGAAAAGAAAATAAGGATGTCCCCCAGCGATGAGCAAGAACAAAGAGAAGATCGAATGAGAGAGACAACTGAAGAAGTAAAACAACGTGAAATGAGCTTAGCGGTTAGACAACGACAACAAGGAAAAATGGGAATCAATAGATGAATAAGCGAATAGATATGGAAATGCTAGCTGTGAAGTACAAGTTTGGTCACTTCTCAATGTTCAAGGAAAACAAATATTGATGGATCGATAACAAAATGTAAATTCAAAGTGACGAATGAACAAGCGTGATGTTTTGAATTTTATTAAGAAATCAGAGTAAATGTATAATGCAAAGTAATGTAATGCTTTTCGAATGCTTCGTCAGACTATGATGCTACTTTCGGGAAGTCAATGGTTAAAATGACACTTTCCTATGCTATTGATCATTCTAATTCACATTAATGATCTTTCTCGATTCATTCGTCCATATATTTGTTGACGTCGTGCAATTATCTATGGTTTGTGCTCGCTAATTGCTCGTTTTTCTCCGCTTATTATTGTTTGTTATAGCACAATTGTGGTCGAGTAGCTCATTTCGTCGATCATACTCTACATTCAATAAATCGATTGTAAGTTTCAACAATGGGCACCGCTTCGATCGTTAATTCGATTGAAAGACTTCATGAATCGATCGCTCAATTTTTTTTTTGTACTCACAGCGATGTGTCGGCATTTTCGGTCTTTTCCAGATTCGTCAATCAAATGTTCAAAGTGAGAAGAAAATTGTTCTAGTCCAACGTGAGAGTACTTTCACTTTGGAAAACGTTCTGCATGTTCATCTTCTCAGTGATTCAACCATTGCAAAGATTTGTTTTGTGCGAAAGTTAATCGGTCAGTCGTATAATTTTGGAAGAGAAAGAAGATCATAGAACCTGTCAATCGTACGCATTAACATAGGATAGATTCAATTGATTAGGAACAATAAGTAACTATTGTCGTCTGAGATGGAAGACACTGCAGAAGCTGGATTAGAATAGATTTTAGACTATTGACAACCATTAATCACTCAGTTGAATTATTGTATAGCGACAGATCTTGAAGAGTCGAGGGAAATGATAGAGGGCAGTGTAAATGCGCTTGTCAATGTGAGTCTACACTTGTTATTGAAAAATATCTGTACGAAGAGCCTAATTGGGAAAATAAACAGTGAATGATATGAGAATGATGATGATACAATATTCAACACATTAAGAATCTGATAGGGATCAAAAGATGGGCGAGTAAACTAAATGGTCATCCATTGATATATGAATGCGAATATATATCTTTCTGAAAAATTTTCTGAAATAGTATTCAACAAATGACTAAAATAAAATAAAATCCAAAAAAAACTGCAATCATGCAAAGTTCAATGGGAACTCAATGCACTATAATGTAATTTCTCGTACTAGAATAATTGGCGGTCCGTGTAAAACGGATCTAGGTGTGGGTATGGGTGCGAGTTGTGAAAACGGGATGACTTGCAGGTATGTTTGTAAATTAGCTATGGGTGTACGAATGTAGGTGTGGATTTCGAACTCACTGAAATCCATAATTTCCAATCACACCTACACTCCCTATCATTATGCTGCTGAACATCGGTAATTCTGAATATGATGTGGGTAAGCGCACGGTCGAAAGAAAGAGCCATACCCATACCCACCCCATACCCAAATGGGGCAGTAGCTCCATGGAATACGCCAACTTTGTAACAACATTTGAACGAAAATCATATGACTCTTCAATGCATGGATCATCGTGGCATAAAACAGTAATAAGCGTTATGCAGCGAAAAAATATTAAAAAAACTCGCAAATAATTACAATGCAGTGCTTCGCATCGTAACAATAAAATGCTTTAATGCATTCTCTTCCAAATCAATAATTCTATTATTTCTACTTCTTTCTACTCGTGAAATTTATTCTAAGAAGAAAAAAGAAAGATAGAAAGAAACGGCAACAACCGGTTGTAAAAGACATTGCAAAGGTAACAAAACAACAGCGAGACAAAAGAAAAACTGGAAGATTTTTGTTCTGAGTATAATATTCTTAATTTAATTTATTTTACGTTTATATCCTCCATATTGTGATGATGATAAAAATGTATTTGTTAACGGTTTATAACGTAAAAGAATATTAATTATCATCGACCAATTGGCTGCTATCATATAGATAATACCAAGATAAGCAGCAATAAATATAGCTAAAACAAGATCAAATATAGCGGGTTTAATACGATAAACATATAATTGCCGTCCTTGATCATCATCTCCATCAAAGAAAACAAATTCTGGATCTTTTTTATTAGGACGTATTGTTGTTTTAACAACATTTGTTAAATATCGATTAGCATATTGTTCAAGTGCAACAACAATAGGATGAGTTTTAGTTAATAATGATGGTGATCGTGAATAATTCGTTAAAAATGTTAACCATTGTTTTGTAAATGTTATTTGATCATAATCAGATTGTTGATTAGATAATAAATAATTTTGATCAATAATTGATAAATTAATATCTGTTTTATTAAATATTAAACGTATTAATGCATCACTTATATATTGATAATTACGTTCAATTGATGTTAATTCAACGTCATTACGTACATCACTTATAGATGAATGTGAACATGATTTTGATGAATTTAAATGTGATAAAGTAAATCCAGATAATTTTGACCAAGAATATTTTTCATGTTCCCATGAAACAAAATCACTTGTTTTTAAAATTTTCTTATGGATTTGTTCGAAATTTAATGGACCATAAGTCGATTTTTCACTTAATTCTGTAAGAAGTTCACGTAAAATACCAGCCTAAAAATTGAAAAAATATATGAAAACATCAAATCATTTGGTTTCAATTTGCAAAGATAGATCAACTATATTGAATAAATAAATTTTCAATGACTCTAAATACTTGAAATGAATTGTCATTATAGACTATTCTTGTTAGAAACATTGACTAAATAAAATAGAGATACCTAAATATGTGTGAAACTAGGATAATCTTGCGCATATCTAATGATATTGTTTTGCTTTGATTAACAATCAAGTTACATTAGAGTTTAAAGATGCTAAGAATAACAGATAAAAATAATGAACAACAAAAAAAAAAAAGCAAATAGATATATGGAATAATTGATGAATAATTTTGAGCATTAACTGGGTTTTGTCTGTTATTTCAAAAAGGACTAGAATATCAAGTAGTATTTCAAAATTCATAAATCCTTAATTTTTATTTTCACACAGTTCTATCACTATTGACCAATAGATATTTGAATGTATCAACAATATTATTATTGATTTTTTTTCGAAAATATAGACTAATAATTAGATTTTTGTAAGATAAATTCCGTATAGGATCGAATAATCGCATAGGATGAAAAATGTTTTGAGAATTGTTCCATTTCATTCATTTCATGTAGAGCCTTGTTGCAAAATGATAGAATTCATAATATTACTACTTAAATTGTTTTACAAAATTTTCAGTCTATTATTAGATGTTTTGAGACAATATGAAATACAGTTTTTCAACTGAAAAATGTTTTCATAAAAGGATTCTGATTACTCGAATCTTACAAAACAATAATTAGAGCAATGAGCAAAGTTTTTGGACTATTTCTGAGCGTATTCCCTAATACATTATATCNCTAGGATAATCTTGCGCATATCTAATGATATTGTTTTGCTTTGATTAACAATCAAGTTACATTAGAGTTTAAAGATGCTAAGAATAACAGATAAAAATAATGAACAACAAAAAAAAAAAAGCAAATAGATATATGGAATAATTGATGAATAATTTTGAGCATTAACTGAGTTTTGTCTGTTATTTCAAAAAGGACTAGAATATCAAGTAGTATTTCAAAATTCGTAAATCCTTAATTTTTATTTTCACCCAGTAGTTCTATCACTATTGACCAATAGATATTTGAATGTATCAACAATATTATTATTGATTTTTTTTTTCGAAAATATAAACTAATAATTAGATTTTTGTAAGATAAGTTTCGTATAGGATCGAATAATTGCATAGGATGAAAAATTTTTTTAGAATTGTTTTATTTCATTCCATGTAGAGCCTTGTTGCAAAATGATAGAAATCATAATATTACTACTTAAATTGTTTTACAAAATTTTCAGTCTATTATTAGATGTTTTGAGACAATATGAAATAGAGTTTTTTAACTGGAAAATGTTTTCGTAAAAGGATTCTGATTACTCGAATCTTACAAAACAATAATTAGAGCAATGAGCAAAGTTTTTGGACTATTTCTGAGCGTATTCCCTAATACATTATATCCATGAAAAATTTCGATAGAATTAATGAATTATTCATAGAGGACGTCCAAAGTAACAATTGCATTCTTTGATCTTCACTTTGTTCACTCTGAACTGAGCCTTCCCTCTTGATCTGTCAGTGTAGATGATGTGTCATTGGTGCTGATCAAAATCAATTTTAATTTAGAAATTCCATATGATTTCTCTAAAAGTATCATAATCAGTGTCCGGACATTTCCTTTATAGATGTCTTCTTATGTATACTCTTAAAATTCATATGAAAACATCACAGAATTATTTTCTCGAAATTAAAACTCACACGTTTAAATTAGAGAATTCTTTATAAAGAAAATTTGAAGTCAAAAAAATTCGATTCCTACTTAATATTTTATGCTAAAATTATTTAAAAAAAATATCTTGATAAAAACATACAGCTTGTGTTTCTTTTGGTGGTTTTGAAACATGCATATAAAGTTGATTTGATTGACCCAATGAATCTATAATAGAAATTTATTTTTTTTTTTCTAAATCTAATTTCTTTTTAAAGAAAATTTTACCAAGACAAACAACAACATCAATATCATTTGGAAGTTGTTGTTGATGTTTTTGATCATGATAATCATCAATCCATTTTTTACTTCCTTGATAATTTAATTTTCCACCAGCAGCAAATAAAAAATATAAATTATATTTAGCTCGTGTTGTTTGTTTAGCATATAATTTTGAAAATAAACGAATTAATTTTAATAAAATTAAAATACCACTTGCATTAGAATCAGCACCTTGTATTAAACCATTTGCTAAACCAAGTGCATCATAATGAGCAACAAGAAGAATTTTTGGTAAACGTTCTTCAATACCATGACCAATTAATTTTCCTGCTATATTATATAAAACACTATCCGTTCTTTGACCATATTTACCAGTATTAACTGATAATTGATAACCATCAGCTGTAATCATATCATAAATAACTGCTAATGCTGAATCTTTAGTTGAATCACGTCGTGATTCAATTGATTTATATAAATCATTCATTTGTTGTGTTTCTCGAAGAAAATAAACAGGTATTGGAACACTTTCACTAAGTAAAATTGCTTCTAAATCACATATATCTGATTTTTGTTCATTTGTCCATGGTGTATTTGTTGATGGTATAACAATAAATAAACTATTAATACCTTTTGAAATAAGTGAACGAAAACGTTCAATTGTTAATTTTTCTAAACGTATTAATGCAGCTTTTCGATTAAGATTTGTATGTGACCATAAACGAACTTCACTTGAAATAAATGCTTGTCGACTACCATATGCTTGACCATATAAATCATATTGAACCATTCTATATGCTTTAAATTCTTGAGTTGAATCAACAAATGCAAATGGACTTAAATATGTTGGTGAAAAAATACATATTATTGGTAACCAATAAAATAAAAAACCAGTTAATGTTGTTGTACGAAAGAGAAATGTATCGAAAAGATCATTTAATTCAAACATTATCTTTTCGATGATTTTGCTTCTTTTTTTTTTTTTTAAAGATCGACTTTTATTTTATCTAAAACTGAATAAATTATATTTATATATGTAAAGTAAGACATGGATTTGAAAGTAAACAAATCTATGAAGATGAAAATGCCTATCGATGACTCATTTCGACATTCATGAAAACTTTTTCTCACTTTCTAGATACATCTTACTTGTTTAATAAACCAAAATAAAAAGAATAAATCCCAATCCCAATCTATCATAACAATTTGTTCTTTTTATAATAAGACAAAAACAATTTTACTCATCATCATCATCATCATCATCGAAATGTTCTTCTTCATCTTCTCCAAATACATCTTCATGAATATTTAGTTTTTGTTTATTTAATACAAATGAATGTTTAAGTTCATCTAACATTGATATTGTATTTATTGTTGAAGATACTTTTTCAAATGATTGATTATCAATAGATTGTTTGTTTTCTTCTTGAATTTTATCATCATTATTATTATCTATATGTCCTAATAAACGTTGTTCCCGTTCATTCCATTCTTGTTTTTTACCTTGTATAGCTATATGAAGTTCTTTCATAAGACAATTTGTTTGTTCACGTAAAATTTTTTTATCATAATCATCAATATCTAAAATATTTTCTTTCATTTCATCTTCATTATTCTGTAATTTTCCTGTATCATATACAAGAATTTCATCAATAGATTCTTTTATTTGATCATCAAAACGATGATAACTTGTTATATTAGATGAATTATTATCATTTGATATCATTTCTTCATTATTTGTTTGATTTATTAATTCTATTGGTTTTATTTGTATACCTTCAAGCAAATAAATAACAGTTTTAAGATCTTGAATAATTCGTTTTAATTGTTCATTATTTAAATAATTATTGTCATTCATTTCAAATCATTGTTCACAATTCGAACGAAGTAGAANATTTTGCCCATAGACAGGTCTAGTTGTGAGTAGAATTCCCTGAAAATTTCAGCTCAAAAGAATGTTTCCTTCTCGAGATATTAAAGTCCCAAAAACCATTCATATCTCACGAAAGATGTTAGAATTTTCTGTTTTTTTTGGACTTTAATATCTCGAGAAGGAAACATTCTTTTGAGCTGAAATTTTCAGGGAATTCTACTCACAACTAGACCTGTCTATGGGCAAAATCTCAACATGAAATATCATCATTCGATTTATTGGTAAATACCATGCCATAGGCTAGAATTCCAGTAAAATTCCTATAACTCTGGACAGAAGGCCTAAGAGCCGTTATCCTTTTGAAGTTTTTCATATCTCACTGAGGTCTACCTTATGCACAGAGTCCGAATTCAAAAGCGATTGGACAGTTGGGGGACCTTCGCTCATTAGTACTATACTTGGCTTTTTTCATCGATATTTGTTTGGCTTTAAATAAATTAAATCTACTGTTGATAATGTCTAAAACTTTTCTTTGTCTGCCAAAGCATATGAAATACCCCAAAGGAAAAAAATGAAAATTATGTACAGTAGACTTTTCATAATTTCTAATATCCAGATTTCGATGTAGAAGATGTCGCATTTAACATAAGTACACTATTCGCATATATAATCAACGAATCACAATCGAATGTTTTCGGTGTTACACATTGAAAACATAAACTTTCGTAAGGTGCCATCATGCTTTAGCTCTTTATGCATCATTTCCATTTGCTTTTTTTCACAAATCTTCTATTTTCTTCTCAAGAAAATTCTTCAAACTTCTCGATTTTACTAGAATAAATCGATTTTTATACTATATAAAGAATGCCGACGAAACACGATCAACATTGTATATCGATCGAAAGTTTTTATTTTATTAAACACAAATGGCTCGTGCTATTGGTATTGATTTGGGTACAACATATTCAGTAAGTTATTTATAATTCATTTAATATTTGATCTATTAAACATAATTTATTTTTAGTGTGTTGGGGTATTTCAACATGGTAAAGTTGAAATTATTGCTAATGATCAAGGTAATCGAACAACACCATCATATGTTGCATTCAATGATAGTGAACGTTTAATTGGTGATGCAGCAAAAAATCAAATAGCTATGAATCCTGTTAATACAATATTTGATGCTAAACGATTAATTGGTCGTAAATTTGATGATACAATTGTACAATCTGATATGAAACATTGGCCATTTCAAGTAATTAATCATAATGGAAAACCAAAAATTCAAGTTGAATATAAAAATGAAACAAAATTATTTACACCAGAAGAAATATCATCAATGGTTTTAACAAAAATGAAAGACACTGCTGAAGCTTTTCTTGGAAAAACAATTTCTAAAGCTGTTGTTACTGTTCCAGCTTATTTTAATGATTCACAACGACAAGCAACAAAAGATGCTGGTATTATTGCTGGTCTTGATATATTACGTATTATAAATGAACCAACAGCAGCAGCTATTGCTTATGGTTTAGATAAAAAAACATCTGGTGAAAAAAATGTTCTGATATTTGACTTGGGTGGTGGTACATTTGATGTATCTATACTCATACTTGATAATGGTGTTTTTGAAGTTAAATCAACATCTGGTGATACACATTTAGGTGGTGAAGATTTCGATAATCGTATGGTAACACATTTTATACAAGAATTTAAAAGAAAAACGAATAAAGATATATCACAAAATAAACGTGCTATTCGTCGTTTACATACGGCATGTGAACGAGCTAAAGTAAGTTGAAATTTATTTTATTCTAGAAATTCTGATAATTTATTCGTTTGTTTTATTTTTTCTTAATAGCGCACATTATCATCATTATCTCAAACATCAATTGAAATTGATGCTCTTCATGAAGGTATTGATTTTTATTCAACAATAACACGTGCTCGTTTTGAAGAACTTTGTACTGATCTATTTCGTTCAACACTTGAACCTGTTGAAAAAGCTTTACATGATGCGAAAATGGATAAATCAAATATTGATGAAATTATACTTGTTGGTGGTTCAACACATATTCCAAAAGTACAAAAATTACTTCAAGATTATTTTCATGGTAAAGAATTGAATAAATCAATCAATCCTGATGAAGCTGTAGCTTATGGTGCAGCTGTTCAAGCAGCTATTTTAACTGGTGATAAATCAGAAGAAGTTAAAGATGTACTTCTACTTGATGTTACACCACTATCATTAGTAAGAAAATTTAAAACAAACATTTTGTTTATTAATTTCTTTTTTATTTTATTTTATAGGGTATTGAAACAGCTGGTGGTGTTATGACAACATTAATTAAACGTGGTTCAAATATTCCAGCAAGACAAACACAAATTTTTACAACATATTCCGATAATCAATCTGGTGTTGATATTAAAGTTTTTCAAGGTGAACGTACAATGACAAAAGATAATCATCTACTTGGAAACTTTCTATTGTCTGGTGTTCCACCTGCACCACGTGGTATACCAAAAATTGAAGTTACATTTGATATTGATATTAATGGAATATTAAATGTAACTGCTGTTGAAAAATCCAGTGGTAAAGAAAAAAATATAAAAATACAAAATAATCAAGGTCAATTATCACAAGAAGAAATAAAACAAATGATTCAAAATGCTGAAAAATATAAAAAAGAAGATGAATTACAACATGAACGTATAGTAGTAAGAAATTCACTTGAATCATATTGTTTTAATATGAAAAAAAGTATTAATGATGATAAAATTTCATCAAAACTTTCAATTGATGATAAAACAAAAATACATGAAACAATTGAATCAACATTAAAATGGATAGAATTAAATCAATTGGCTGAAAAAGATGAATTTGAACATAAATTAAAAGAAATTGAAAATATTTGTTCACCAATCATAACTAAAATTTACGGTAAATAATTTTACATTAATTAATTTATAGAAACTATTTTATGTATTTTTTTTTTTCTATTTTAGGAAATGAAAATGATATACAAACAGATCATAGTTCATCGAAACCAAATGGTTATGGTCCAACTATTGAAGAGCTTGATTAAACAAAATAAAGAGAAATATATATTCTCATGTTTATTCTAGTCTTATCATTCTTTTGTTCTATTTTCTAGTCTTGAACAAATTTTACAAACAAATTAAAAAAATATATTTTTTTTTTTGTATTAAATAAAATATTCTCTAAATAATTATTAGTTCTTGTTTCATTAATAAGGAAAGATTAGCATAGTTTGGATGTATTATAAAAGAACAAACTATTTTAATACAATTCTTCATGATTATATTGACAAAAATTTGTTTGTAATCTATTCCGATACAACATATAATGATGTATTTGAATGCTTCAAATATTCATTATGAATGAAAAGCTCTTCTAATATATCTTTCTTTTTGAATTAAGAAGACTTTTTAATATAGATATATGAACTAATAGATCTTCAGAAATTTATTTTATTTGTTTTGTATTAATAGATTATTTCCAGATAGGTTTTTTTTTGTTAAATTCAACAATTTTTATCAATCTGAATATTGATTATCAGTTTAAAGAAAGCATAGGTTTTAATCAGAACGGTATATAAAGTTTTCATAGAGAATTATTCAAGCTTTTGAATGTGCATCAAAAGAAATGTTCCTGCATTTTAGTTTATTTTGCTCGACTTTCTCCTCTTCTTTTCCGCAAATCTGATCAACTTTAGCAGAAATCTCTCAATCTACCTTCTGAATCAACAATTCTCTTCCCAGTCCCGCTGACTTTAGAAAACTTCTGAGGTTTTCGTACTTTTTCATGTTCTATAGATTTTTTTCAAGTAATTATAATACAGTATCGGTAAAAAAAAAATATAAGATCAACGTATTTTTGTTTGTTTTTCTATGATGTCAAGCATTTAATTCAAATCAAAATAGTGATTTGAATAATCAATGAGGTTCTATGTCAAATGCATTTCATATCGAAATTCTATAGATGAACTATGAGATGAAGATATCTGAAAAATCCAACATGGTAGTTGTCAGGTTCTAGAAGGCTTTGTGAAAATTAGCTTTTCAGAAAATCATGAATAGAATGAGGGGGTAACTGTATTTCCTACGACTTTCCTATAAAAAGCTAAACGCATTACGAAACACAAAAAAAAAACGTTATAAAACTGGTTTTTATCAATGCTATGACGAATTTCGCTTTGTCGTACTTATACTTTCCTTAGGAAATGCGATAACCTCTAATTTTATTCAGGATTTTGTGTTCTTTAAGATAATATACTTAAAAACGAAATTTCACATAGTCTTCTGGAACCTAAAAACTATCGTGTTTGATTTTCCGGAAACTTTCCTCTGATAGTTCATCTATGAAATTTCAATGTGGAATATATTCTATAGAGAACTTCATTGGTTATTTAAGCCACTATCTAGATTTGAATTAAATAATTGGTATCGTAGAAAAACAAAGGAAAAATTCGTTGAACTTAAGCTGTGGATCAGTACTGTATATAATTAATATAAAGCCAACATGTTCAACTCAATCGCACATTGTAAACAAGTTTTATACAAGACATCACTTTAAATCGAAGCACGAAATAGTATTATTAAATTTGACAAAGTTATCGTGATATTTATTCAAGTAAAGTTAATCACAATCAATTTTACAGAAATAATACAATGATGTAAAGAGATTTTTTCTTTAGCTTCTTATGAATTAGTTTTTGGTATGAGAATTCACAGAAAATACAAGTTCAAATCATGAAGCCATCGTTGGATATATACACTAAAATGTGTAAAATAAGTCTTCATATTCATAGAATTTCAGTTTGTCACATTATACTATTACCGAGATACAAGTATTTATCAAAGTTAAAAGTTTTTTCAAATCAACATGAATAGAACATAAAATGGTTTTTTTCGATCAATCATTTATCATGAATGCATATTACTTTTCTGTATTTCACTCATGAATT